TAAGAGTGTTATGAATGGTTTGCTTGGGGTAACTGAAAGATCGCCAAGGTCATGCGCAGACGATGCGATCAAAGTCCGTATGAAATGGGTCATCTTGATTGCACATCATTCAATGGTTGGCTCATTTTTAAGTATCAGGATCGTGTAATTCAACCAATAAGCCTAAGCGGCAAACATATGCCTTATTTCATCCCCCCCCCCTATTTTATAAGTAATTGAACTACCTTCGACATTTCTCGTTGTCAACGCTAAAACGTCTTCATATATATATTCCCATATTTGAATATATCTTGTGTTGCCTGTTGTCAAAGTGGAGAGTCTTTTTTTACTATGTAAAACGAAACCACAGGGGGGATTTTTAAAAGTTTTTTCTACATTATTTCAATAACCAAGGAAAGGCTACAGGAAAGTTCGCATCAGTGAGCTTTTAATTTTAAACAATTTAATTTCAGTATTTGTCCTGATATATGGCTTTAACGTATTGGCATTACTTGCAATGTTTTGCGGTCATTTGACGTTGAAATATCTGCTTTAACATATCTGTCAAAGCAAAGGAGTCAGAGAGTCATATTAACAAATTACAAGCTTTTAAAGAAATAGTTTTTACTTCATTTTACACACTCACTTGCAGATAAATTTACATGTATTACCTACCCTAAGGAGCTTCCATCACGCTACAGCAAGTTATAAATAAACATGGTTGTCCCTAATTAACGCCCCCGGGGGCGTTGCAAACTCCAGGGAGGGAGGCACTAATTATAATATTTGTGTAGTTCCGGATTCATTTTTTTTCACACGCGATTTGTTGATTTCAATGCTAATAAGTGTTTGTTTTTCTTCTTTTTTTTTTCAACTCAAAATTACGATAATAAAAGTGGATTATATGCTGTCACAAAAGGTAAGATTTATAAAAATACCGGGGGGTGGACGGTAATTAGAGAGAGGGGCAATATCGTACCTAGTTTTATTTATGCATTATTGACAACTATATTTTCAGTGCTTTAAATTAAGATATTAGCTAGAGTGCGCATGACATTAAGATCGAAAGCTTACAAAAATAGTCCTAGAACATGTAAAAACTTCGAAGTTTGACATCGAGAATCTAGTTAATTCACAGAGTACAAAACAAATGAGCGTAGATTATAAATTCGAAAATAAGTGAAGCATTAAGTCAGTTTTGTTTTCAACTGGTAAAATATGAACATAGTTATTTATGTAAGCAATTTTAATTCTTGTGAATATATTTTACATGTACATTTAGCCTAATTTTAGGTACTTTATCCACCACAGATAGTATATTATTACATGTCACTTAACGTAACTTTCTGAATAATAAGAAAAAATATGGCTATAAATTGAACCTCACTTTCCAGTATAGGCAGGTCTTACTAGGAAGCTCTCGAATACATCTTTGAGAGCTAATAGAAACAGTTTTATTGGTTGGAATCAAAGGCTGAATACTAACTCCCCATACTTCCTATTAGCGTTAATGGTGGGCCGATCAAAATTAGGGATGGTGGTAGATAAAATACGTTTTCTTAAAGCTATCAAATCCTGGTTACAGATAATTTTACATTAGCAGGTGTATTATTAGATCTGTTGCATGCTCATGCTAGTTCTCACTACAATAAAAAATTGTTAGATTTTTTTTTTTATTCCTTGTATTACAAACCTCTTGTTACACAGGATTTTCACCAAGTGAAGGATACGTCACAGATATCTTACTCTTCCCCAGTTTGATTGTTTATATGATTGACATGTTGTTCAAACAGGCCACTCATGCTTTCAGGCTATCAGCCTGGCCAGTTCTTTATGTCAAAATTAAATATTTACAGGGATGTTATACATCTTGATATGTAGTACTCTTCTGTTGATGTTGCTGGCTTCAGTGTTAAACTTAAGGCAGTTCCTAGATTTAAAAAATTGTTTATAGCCAGTGATTCAACTAAATTGAGCTCCTAGCATGATTATTTTTGTTTGAAGAGGGAACCACAGCTAACCTTGAGACAAACTGTATGCAGAATTGTGGAGAGCTGGGATGGGGCTTTGGATCCAAGTCTCCAGCGATAAAGGCAAAAAAAAAAAAACAGCATATATTTTATGCCTAAATTCACTAAATCTTACATTTTTCGAATTTCTTTTACAAAACAAGTTTTTATAGAGTACCCTAGGGAGTTTCCACAGCTCTTCAATCTTTCAAGAAACCAGA